CCTTATATCAAAGAAGACATTTGGCATTTGTTTTTTAGGGTTTGGCTAGCTTCGCTTAGCATAATCTGCTCTAATGCCATCCATTTCCCACCAAATTCTATGATTTTGTCATTTTTTAATGCAGAGTAATACTCCATTGTGTATAAATGCCTCATTTTTTTTATTCATTCATCTATTGAAGGGCATCTAGGTTGCTTCCACAGTCTTGCTTGTTGTGTCTTTGAAATTTTCCCTCTATTTATTTATATTGATCTTGTATAGTTGAAAAATCACCCTTGCAGGGCAGGTAGTGGCTGTGATCCTCCTCCAATTAGTGTGATCCGTCTTCCACGCTGGCAGGCCCTAGGTCTGCTCTGCTGATCGGTCAAAGGTCCGCCTACCCAGCAGGCGCCAGGGGCACCTGTGTCACTCCGTAGGTTGCTGGGCATAACCTCCCGATGGGTCGCAGGTTCCCCTAGCTTGCAGGCACTGGGGGAGGGGCCGGCTCCGCCCCTCAGCAGGCCGCTGGGCCCCATCTGCCGGTGGTCACAGTCCCGCCTACCTTGCAGACACTGGGGGAGGGGACGGGCCTGCCCCTCAGCAGGCCTCCGGACCTGTCCTAGTGGGTCCGGTCCGCATTCCCTGTAGGCGCGTGTAGCTGCTCTGTCACTTGGCTGGTTGCTGGGCCTGACCCGCCCACCCGTGGGTTGCCTCAGGCATTCAATTTTTAAGAAATGTTTGGGTAATTATTATGGGCTGTTCTAGAAGATTAAAAGCATTCTCCATCCCTGATGAGTTTAAATATCAAAAATATGGAAACCTTTCTGGACAAGTGCCAAGGAAATGCTACCAATAAAGCACTATAGGAGTTTGAAAAGACAAAAATAGATGGTCTCTGCTAGTCAGGCAGGAAGTGAAACATGAGAAGGGTTTCTAAGGATTGGGTGGGTAGCAGTTACATTTATAAAGATGAAAGGGGAAGACATTCCAGTCCTCCAGAATCAATGTGAAAAGTAATGAGCTAAAACAGGAGTGACCTGTTTTCTGAGTATAACAGAAAACCAGAACAATAGACTAGAACTTGCTGGGAGAAAGTCTTGAGAGTAAGTTTCTTATGAGAGGAGGTCTTCAGCATTCAGATTTTATATATAATAAACAGGAACTTATTACATATTTTAAAGTGTATATTAATAATAATATGTGGCATAGGTAAGAAAAGAGAAAAAATGAAAGCTTATGATATAAGAAACTGTATTTATGTGGATTTTACATTTATAAATACAGAATTGTACCCATAGAAGAAAATTCAGAGGTAATATTTAGTAATTTGTTCTTTTTCTTTTTGGTAGGTTGATGGAGAAGCGAGAGGTTATTTTATATTGTGATCTACATGGACATAGTAGGAAAGAGAACATCTTCATGTATGGCTGTGATGGTAGTGACAGAACTAAAGCATTATACTTACAGCAACGAATCTTCCCATTTATGCTGAGTAAAAATTGTCCAGATAAAGTAAGTATCTTTTAAGATTTTAATTTTTATTTTACTAAATGTTGTCCATGTAGGACAATGAAATAAAAAGATCCTATTCAGTAACCTGCTTTTCGTTAGTCATTTGACTGATTTATACAGCTGACCATACAAATAACTGTGTGGAATTGTTCATGACAAACAGTTTGAAAATATGAGAAGTCAAAAATTCCCATAGTCCCACCCTCTTAATACCCCATGTTTGGCTTTTACAAAGCTTCTTCTGTTGACCATTTTCATCAGTTTGGGGATCTTTATTTATTGTTTTAGTATATATTCAGTTCCTAATTGTATAGGCTAAAAGATGTGCTTTTAGCCTACAAAATATTGTCTTTTATATATTATATAGTATTTATTAGAATTTCACCAGGAAGAAAATCAGTAATCAGTATTTCAAAATTACAGAGAAATTAGAATGAGAAAAGAATAGAGTGCATTTTCATACTATGAAAATGTTGAAACTACTTAGTTACAAAAGATATGAAAAATTTTTAATCATTTTTAAAAGATTTTAGATTAACAACAACAACTTCCTCTTAGGTTCTCAACCAACCAATTCAACTATAAAGAAGTTATTGGGAAGTACTCTTTATTTTATGGAGACAATTAGCACCCAAAGATATAAAAAGGAAAGGATGATCTGGTAGAAGAGCTATTTACAGAAAGCATAGGTTTACTACCCAAAGAGTATTTGTTCCTTCAGAAAGATCAGCGAAATCAACCCCAGTACCTGAAACTGTCCCTATATAACATCATGTCAGTACTCATAGGTATATTTTATTACTCCTATAAAATGATCCCATTTTGTTAAGATATTTTAATATTTGTCTGTTGACATATTTTCTGACATAAAATGGATGAGGTTTCTTGAGCAATACAACCAACCAGTCTACAGTTTAAACAGGCCTTCCACGTAATATAAATTTTGTTTAAAATATAGAGGTTTTTCCAGGTATGGTGGCACATGCCTGTGATTCTAGCAACTCAGGAGATTGAGGCAGAAGGACAGCAAGTTCCAGGCCATGCTCAGCAACTCAGAGAGATCTTGTCTCAAAATAAACAATAAAAAGGACTGGTCAGGTGACTCCATCACTCTGGGCCTGAAGTGAGACAGAACATTGTGGTGGCAGGGCATGGCAGAGGAAAACTGCTCAGCTCATGACATCCAGGAAGCAGAGAGAAGCCTGGGACAAGACACAACCCCAAGGTCATGCCCCCAGTAATCTGCTTCCTACCTCCATATACCTACCACCTAATAGTCCACTCACCTCTCATAATCTAATCATTTCACCTCGGAACACTCCTGCACTGCACAACACATGAACTTTTTCCGGGGACACCTTATATCCAAACCATAAAAACCATCAAACAACTGATTTTAATGGACATTTACAGAACATTCTGAACAGCAGAATATACATTATGTACAAATGTACGTAGAACATTTGCTAAAGTACAGATTATATCCTGTTTTAAAACAAACCTTAACAAGTTTGAAATAATTGAAATCATATAAAATATGTTATCTGACACAATGGAATTAATTTAGAAATCAATAAAAGAAAAGAAAGATTTCCAAACAATAGAAATTAAACCACATTCTAAATAATCCTTAGTCCAAAGAGGGAGGTCTCAAGGAAAATTAAATACATATTTTAAACTGAAGGAAAAKGAAAATATATGACGTTACATTTTGTGAAATTTAGTTAAAATACCAGTGCTTAAAAAGGAAAATAAAGATTTCAAGTCAATAATCCAAGTTTCTACAAAAAGAAACTGGAAAAGAAAATAAGCCCTAAACAAGTAGATAATATAAGAGCAGGTTAGTGAAATTGGAAACAAAGGAAAAGTGCAGAAAAACATTAAAACAGAAAGCTTGTGCTTGGTGAAGAGCAATAAAACTGAGGAACCTGACGAGGAAGAGGAGGAGACGACTCAAATGAAAGAGGATATCACTTAAGACAATAAGGGGCAACTCAACTCTCTGCACATAAATTTAACAACTTAGATGAAATGAGCCAACTCCTTGAAAAATAACAAACTACCAAAACTCACACAGTGTGAAATGGATAATCTGAATGGTCCTCAACCACCAACCCCCACCCCCTCCCCCCAAAAATCTTTACAAAAAGTGAAATCTCAGATCCAGATGGATTCAATAAAGAATTCTACCAATATTTAAAGAAAATTTCTTCTAGGATTACTATGATACCAACACAAGACAAAGCTATACAAGAAAAGAAAAATACAGACTCTTATACTTCGTGAACATAGAAGCAAAAATTTTTAACAAAATATTAGCATATTAAATCCAGTAATTTATAAGATGTGTAATACATCCTGAACAAATGGGATTTATCATAAGAATATCAAATTAGTTCTATATTTGAAAACTAACCAATGTAATCCATTATGCTAACAGTCTACAGAAGAAAAAAATGTGTGAACATATCACATGCTTATCAAACATTGCTATATAAAAAGCTTTTAACAAACTCAGCATCTATTCATAATAAATACTTTCAGCAAATAAAGAATAAAAGTGTAAACTTAATAAAAAGATACCTACAAAAATCCTATAGCCAGCATCATACTTGGTGAAAAATGATATTGTTCTCTTAAGGATAAGAGAATATCCACTCTCAACCCTCCCATACAACCTTGCACTGAAAGTTCTAACCAGTATGTAAGGCAAGAGATAGAAAGGAAGAAAAAGCAGACAATCTGGGATGGAGAAGTAATGAAAATAACATGTGTATCTATGCAGATTTTGCAGTTAGTTTTTCATTTTTAACCCTTCTTCCTAAGAAATATATGTGTCTTCTTTTTTCTTTTTTTTCTTTTTTTGCTGCTTGTCAGTTTTCATTCCCAGCTTGCAAGTTCAATATTCAGAAGAGCAAGGAAGGAACAGGAAGGGTGGTAATGTGGAAAATGGGAATCAGGAACAGCTTTACCATGGAGGCCACCTTTTGTGGATCTACTTTGGGTAAGGCCAAGTGTGCTCACTCACAGCTCCCAGATCATTAAACCAAAGATATATATTTTCAACATAAAATTAATAGTAGTGGAGCTGATCTGGTAGTGAGCACATTCTTCCCATTTAAATGTATGCTGATGTTTAGTCGATCTATAAGTGGAATGCATAAATTTCCATTATATGGTATTTCTATTTCATTCCCTTTGTTTAGAAAGGAATGTTTGACATGTTGTACATAGAATATTTGGTTGTTTTGTAAACTAATCTTCAAATGCTTTTCTTAAAAGAATATTTCTATATATTTTTTAAAAGGGGGGTTCTGATTATTTCAGGACAAAGCAATGAACATACTTAAAAATTATAGAAACATTTTTATTGAATTTGCCCTTTGAAAGGCAAAAAAAGACTACTGTGGTGTGTGTGTGTGTGTGTGTGTGTGTGTGTGTGTTTATATTTAAAAGGAAACACTTGGGTCCCTGAATTAAAAATTAAAATGTGCTTTGTAGTCTCATTTAGTAAATCTTTTAGTTACATCTAGCATAATGTGTGTTCAAAATATTCTAGATTAAGATAATTTTTCACACTATTAGACAATGTATCCACTCAAAGGAAAGTACTAGACATCCACATATGTGATTTCTGGATAATTTTTAAAATACCTTGAAACTGATAGAACATTATTCATGATGATGAAAACATTCTCTCATAAAATCTTGACCCAAGTTTTTCCAGAATGACTACTGATACTGTTTATAACTGGTAACCAATATTACATAAGTGTCTAACTGAACTTTCTTCTGCCTTGCAACATAAACTAATTTGTGTTAAAATAAGGAAAAGTAACAGTTTAGTTTAGTTTTTTTCCTTTCAGCATTGGAGTAGATTGCTTTCTCTTATTTTTAACTTTAATGTGATAGGCTGTTAAATGACCTCTCCCAGAGAGGATATGGAATCAAATCAATGTTTGTTCATACCCTTACATTTAGACCTGCTTGCTAAGGAAAAAAATGATTTACTCATCCTCAAGGGTAGATAAACTTATTGATGTTTTAGGTAATAAACGAGGCACTCATTTCAGCACAAAAGACTTGGAGTCAATGGGCTACCATTTTTGTGATTCTCTCTTGGACTATTGTGATCCCGATCGGAGCAAGGTAAGCCAAGAGCACTTGATAAAGCATCAGATTCTAGCCTATCAGATAATACAACCGCCTGTCAACCTACAACAGTTTTTTCCTTTTAATGTCCTAAACCCATGGTCTGGGAATTTTGTTATAGTTTGTTTGTTTGTCTGTCATATTTARTGTCCCAGTAACTATTATTCCAGGTGTCTATAAATACTCAATTAGTTTGATTAGGAAGAAAAAATTTGGTTTTTGGCATTAGGGATTGAACCCAGTACATGCAAGGCAAGTTTTCAACCACTGAGCTACATCCCCAGCCCTTTCTTAATATTTTATTTTATATTGAGGCAAAGTTTGGCTAAGTTGCCCAGGCTGGCCTCAAACTTAACAATTCTCCTTCCTCAGCCTCCCAAGTATCCAGGATTATAGGCATGTACCACTGCACTCAGCATGAAGCAAAATTATTTCATAGTGAACTCATTTATAATTTTTCTCTAGTATTATCAGTGCCTGAAAGAATTAGAAGAAATGGAAAAACGTATGAGTTTGGAAAAAGTCTGTGATGATTCAGATTCTTCTCTAATAGAAATTACATTGGATCTAGAGTCGAGGTAAGTCAATATTTTTGAACTAATGTAATTTGTTGTATTGTTTTACCATGTTCTTTATAATAATACTGGGATATTATTGTCAATTCCACACTGAAAATTTCAGCTATAAGAAGGGGGCAAATTTTTCAGCGCACCTGATTTTGACCAGACCACATCAAGACTTCAGTTGAATTATTCTTTTATTCCATTGCTATGCACAGTGTACTTTATGTGAAAGACATACCAAATTGTTTTGTTTGCTTTCTCTCTTTTAGACTTTGTTAAAGCATTTTATGTTCACAGCAAAATTGAGTAGAAAGTACAGATTTTCAGAATATCCTCTACCCCTACACATGCATAGCCTTCCCCATCACCAACATCCCCCACCAAAGTGGTATATATGTTATCAATGATGAGTTTGCATTGATACATCCTTATTGTCCAAAATCCGTAGTTAATGAGGGTTCACTTTGGGTGTTATATATTCTATATGTTTGGAAAATTTATAGCAACACATATCCACCATTAAAGTATCATACAGAGTATTTTCACTGTATGGGTTCACTCCAGAATTCACCTACCCTTTCCTGCTCTCACCCCTAACTCCTGGAAACCTCAGATCTTTTAAATTCTCTCTATAATTTTGTCTTTTTTAGAATGTCCTTTAGTTGGAATTATACAGTATACAGCCTTTTCACTGGCTTCTTTCAATTTGTAATATGCATTTAAGTTTCATTCATATCTTTTCATGGCATAATAGCTCATTAGCACTCAAAATATTTTATTATCTGAATATACCACACTTTACCCACTCACCTACTGAAGGACATCTTGTTTGCTTCCCAGTTTGGGCAATTATGAATAAAGCAGCTATAAACATCCATGTGCAGGTTTTTCTGTGTATGTAAGTTTTTATATCCTTTGGGTGGATAACAGAGCATGAATGTCAATGTAAGAGTATGTTTAGGGTTTTTTCCTTTCAGGATTGGAGTAGATTGCTTTCTTTTTATTTTTATCTTTAATGTGGTAAAAACAATTAAAAAGAGATCTACCCTTATCTAAATGACTATTAGTAAATGCTGTACAGCAGAGCTCTGCAGTTTTTTCAACTTTCTTAACTTTTATATCAGTTGGTAATTCCCATTTCTCCTACTTCAGTTCCTGGTAACCATCATTTCATTCTTTAATTATATTAATTTGACTATTTTACATACTCCACAGTAGTGGAATCATTCAGATTTGTGTTTCTGTGACTGACATTTCACTTAGCATAACGTCCACAGGGTTCATTCACATTGTAACCTATTGGAGTATTTTCTTCTTTTTTAAAGCTGGGCAGAATTCCACTGTATTACATACCACATTTTACTTGTCCATTCATCTTTTGATAAATATTTGAGTTGGTTCCACATCTTGGCTATTATGAATAGTACTGCACTAAACATGGGAGTGCTGATCTCTCTTCAGGCTCTGGATTTCAATTCTTTCAGATAAGCACCCAGAAGTAGATTTTTAAATTATATGGTAGTTCTATTTCTAGTTATGTGAGGAATCTCAGTACTATTTTCAATAGCAGCCGAACCATTTTGCGTTCCCACTAACAGAGTGCAAGGGTTCTGATTTCTCTACATCTCCACCAACAGTTGTTGTCTTTTGTTTCTTTAATAATGGCCATCCTAACAGGTAGGAGGTAAAATTTCTTTGTGGTCTTTATTTTCATTTCCCTGAATACCTGAGTACTTTTCATATGCTTGTTGGCCATTTCTCTCTTTTGTTTTTTAATACTTATTTTTAGTTGTAGTTGGACACAATGCCTTTATTTTATTTATTTATTTTTATGTGATACTGAGGATCGAACCCAGGGCCTTGGGCGTGCTAGGCTAGTGCTCTACCGCTGAGTCCCAACCCCAGCCCCCTTGTTGGCTATTTCTGTGTCTTCCTTGTTGAAATGTTTGTTCAAGTATTTTGCCCATTTTGGTGATTGGATTTTTTTTTTTTTTTTGTAAACCCCTCTTAGGGCTGGCAAAAGGGAAAGGCCACTGCAATTGGATCCAGTTAAGGCTGAATACTATCTTTTGAAAATGGAAGAGTCGGTCCCCTTTCATTCTTCTGCATGTGATTATCCAGTTTTCCCAGCATTATTTGTTGGAGAAACTATTCTTTCTCCCTTGTATATCCTTGATGCCCTTGTTGACTATCAGTTTACCATATATGGGCAAATTTATTTTGGATCTCTAGATTCTATTCCAGTGGTCTACATGTCTGTAGCTTTATTTTAATATAATTTGAAATCAGGAAGAATGATGCCTCCATCTTTGTTCTTTTACTAGATAGTAAATGGGTTAAATGTAAAGTTAGGTTGTTTAATTGAGATTATTATCACGATTTTTTGTCACAATAATTTCCCCCAGTACTGCTTTTGCTATATCCCATAAATATTGGTATGTTGTGTTTTCAATTTTGCTTTTCTTTAGGTATGTTTTTAATTCCTTTTTACCTTTTCCTTTGAACCAATGATCATCCAAGGGTGTACCATTTAATTTCTATTTATTTGTGAATATTTCAGTTTTTCTTCTGCTGTTGATTAATATTCCATTCCACTGTGATCAGCATGACACTTGGTATGATTTCAGTCTTCTGAAATTTGTTAAGACTTGTTTTATGACCTAATATGATCTGTTATGGAGAAAGTTCATGTGCACTTGAGAAGATGTGTATTCAACTGTTCTGTGTATAACTATTATATCCATTTGGTCTGTACTATCATTCAAGTCCTCTGTTTCCTTATTGATGTTCTGTTTGGTTGTTCTATCCATTATTAAAAGTGAGATATTAAAGCCTCCTACTATTATTATATTGCTATATATTTCTCCTTCTAGTTATGTCATGTTGCTTTTATATATTTATATTTTATATTATATATATTATTTATATATTTATATAATTTATATATTTAAGTACTCTGATATTGAGTGTACATATTTATACACACAAGTTATGAAGGATATCTGTGTATCCATCATATCTTCCTGATAGATTAACCCTTTTATAATTACATAATGTTCTTTGTTTTTTTGTGATAGTTTTTAGGTATGTTAAAATTTTAATGTCTTTACAATAAAATAGTATAATGTTAATAGGCTAGACAGAAATTAAAAGAATGTGTGTGTGTATATATATACATATATAAATAAACAAGAAATGATTGCTACATACACAAAGTAAAAGATAAACAATAAATGGAAAATTATAAAATAGATGAACTGATAATTCACAGAGGAGAAAAATTTTAAAAATAATATATTAAAAGATACTCAACCTCGCTATTAACCAGGGAAATGAAATAAAACAACAAAATATCATTTCAATCATCTCGTGATAGTTTTTGACCTAAAGTCTACTTTGTCTGATGTAAGTACAGCTACCCCATTCCGTTTGGTTACTATTTGTATAGGATATCTCTTTTCTATGTCTTTAATTTCAGCCTATGTGTGTCCTTAAATCTAAAGGGAATTTTTGTAGACAGCATGTAGTTGGGTATTATTTTTAAATCCATTCAGTCACTCTGTATCCTTTGACTGGGGGAGTTTAACCCATTTACATTTTAATTATTGATAGGGAAGGATTTACTGTTGAAATTTTGTTCATTGTTTTCTGTTAGTCTTATAGTGTGGTCTTTCCTCTCTCCAGATTCTTTTTAGTGCTATTATTACCCATGGAGAACTGACACTGTTATAGAGATGACATAAGAGGGCTATAATATTAGTGAATAAAAAAGTACAAAATTCAAAGCTAAGGAATATTGTTGGAAGAAGGAAAGCATTAATTTTAGAACAGTTTCTTTAGGAAAGATAAAACACTTTTTTATTTCTTTGTATTTATTTCTTCGTATTTCTACATTTTCAAATTCTGAAACTTCTACTGGTAACCAATACATTTGTTTGCAGGTATTATCATTTTGAACTCATGGATTTGTTTATATTTGACAGGTTMTAATCATTTTCAGTCATTATCATTCTAATGTCAAATTTCCCCAAATCTGGTCAATAGAAGATCCTTTAAGTTGACCTGTGTCTTTTTGACATGACTGATAGTCATCATAAGATTTTTAGTCTCATTCTCTGCCCTACAACTGGTATGTACCATTTCTCCAAGAAATTTTGATTCCTTTTAATGATAAATATTATTTAGATAACATACATAGATAGTGGTTATTATTGCTGTAGGTATTTTTCAAAGGTTTGAGTTAGGAAATCGTTTTTTGGTTTGTTTGTTTGTTTATTTATTTATTTATTTATTTATTTATTGTACCAGGGATTGAACCCAAGGGTGCTTAACCAACTGAGTCACATCCCCAGTCCTTTTTATTTTTATTTTGAGTCAGGGTCTCCCTAAGTTGCTTAGGGCCTCACTAAATTGCTAAGGCTGGCTTTGAACTTGCAATCCTCCTGCCTCAGCCTCCCAAGCCCCTGGGATTACAGATGTGCACCACCACACCTTGTGGAAATGGTTATTTTTAAGAGAGAAAAAATCATGAGCTTGTAGTTATATTTCTAGCAAGAAATTTAAGATTGTAAGATTTAGTCTTCCTTGATTTTATGCTTGTACCTCATTTCTCTAGTGCTAAAATTTTTCTATTAGTACAGATATTTACTTACTTTATCCTACAGTATACCAATAAAAATACCCAGTAAAATGAATATGATATAGTTTTAGATTTCTTCGTAATTCTTTTTAGACTTAATGTATATATRCTATATAAACTATATATTATATAGTATTAGTATATCATATACATATCACTTGGGATATGCAGCCAAAATACTACTTTAAATCATTAAAAAAGAAAAATGGCCAGGCACAGTGGTGCATGCCTATAATCCCAATGGCTCAGGAGGCTGAGGCAGGAGGATGGCAAGTTTAAATCCATTATCAGCAACTTAGCAAGGCATTAAGCAACTCAGTGAGACCCTGTCTATAAATAAAATATATGGGCTGGGGATATAGCTCAGTTGATAGTGTGCTTGCCTCACATGAACAAGGCTCTGGGTTCAATCCCCAGCACCACAAAGAAAAAAAAAATATATATATATATATATATATATGAAAAAGGGCTGGGGATGTGGCTCAGTAGTTAAGTACTTCTGGGTTCAATTGCTGGTACCAAAAAAAAAAGGAAAAATATATTTTTTTCTCTATGTGATTATGCCACCAATTTGACATATAGTTAAGTGCCTTTTAAAAAAATTTTTAGAAATGCTTTTTCTCCTTTTGATTAAGTTTTTATAATTATATAATATTTACATAAGACAATCCAATTTTACTGTTTGTTTTACTTATCCTTTCATTGTTTTATTTTGAAAATATGAATAAATATCTATGTATTTTTCGTATCCCTATACCTTTATATAAAAGATAACACACTACCTGTACAAGCTTTTTCCTGTACCTTGCTTTTTACACTTATTATATCCTAGAAATCAGGATATTTATTCCTGATGCATGGGACTTCACAGTATAGCTCTACTGTAATTTACTCTGTCCTCTATGGATGGGACATTTGAAAACTGCCTACTTTTAAATTGCTTCTAAATAAGGATAAGAGGTGAGATAAAATAAGATAATGTATAAAAAATTTTATAGCATAGTACTATAAAATACCATATAAGTAATATGTTTTAGCATGTGTTATCTGTCTGGAATAACTTTTTTAAGAGATTCAGGACTTTGGGAAGTTGAGAATTACCTTGCTTTTCTAGTGTAAATATGCTTATCTACAGGAGTTTGTAGAATGGTTTTTTGAGTTTATAGAATTATTCTATGCTAATTATTTCTTTTTATAAACTTTGTAAAATCTGACAATAAAGAAAGCTTAGCCAGTTTGCAGTGGCACAAACCTATAATCCCAGTGACTCGGGAGGCTGAGGCAGGAGGATTATAAATTCAAAGCCAGCCTCTGCAACTTAGTGAGGCACTTAGCAATTCAATGAGACCCTGTCTATTAATAAAATATAAAGAAGGGTTGGAGATGATGCCCAGTGGTTAAGCACCCGTGGGTTCAATCCCATTACCAAAAAAAGGAAAAAAGAAAGTTTCATTCTTGCATGTCCAGAAATATGACATGTGCTACTTATGAATGTATCCCCCTTTTAAAAGGGAACATGAAAACTTCAACATAATTTTTCTGGAGAAATGAAAATATTTTAAAAGGAAACTGAATTATTTAGCATACAGAAAGCATAAATCCAATCTGTGTTTAAGGAAGCAAGACCATAATAGTAGTAGTAGGCAAAAGCATGTGAAGCAGACCTTACTCCAATAAAAAGAATAATTGAACATTTTTAAAAAGAGAAAATAAACATAAGTACCTGAAGAAAGTTTATAACTGGACGTGAGAAACAAAGTAAAACAAATAAAATCCATTGAAGTTTAAATTGCAAGTGCAGATATGCAGTTTTTCAGATAAAACAAATTCTTTTTATAACTGCTGGGGAAAAATGTGTTTCAAAAACCTAAATAGAGAAAATTCTTTTATTTAAAAGTATTGATACTCTGGGTGTGGTGGCACATGCCTGTAATCCCAGTGACTCAGGAGGCTGAGGCCGGAGGATTGTGAGTTCTGAGCCAGCCTCAGCAATTTAGCAAGGCCCTAAGCAACTAGTGAGACCCTGTCTCTGAATAAAATACAAAAAAGGGCTGGGGATGTGTCTCAGTAGAGTTAAGCGCCCCTGGGTTCAATCCCTGGTACCYAAAAAAAGTATTGATGCATTTGATTTATAATGGAAATTATTTCTTTATAAAGTACAATATTTAGTGGTACTAGAACAAATAATATTTTATAATTAGGTTAGGAAATAGTAAAGCAAAAACAAGTTTTGAAAGTTATCCTGCTTAATGACAAAATATTTTCTAGTACACATTCATTCAGATACTGCTGTAAATATGATAAACTAGCTATGCAATTTCTTAGCCAGAAAGAGCAAATTTAAATAATAAGTAATAACAACATGCTTTAAAACATACGTATGTAGTTACCTTACTATATATATATGAAAAGAAATGTACATATATATCTATTTCTAAGATGCAATCCAGAAAGTTCTGCTTCTTATTTACCAATCTAAGTATTTATCTACTTCTCTTGTCTTACTGTGTTAGCTAGGACTTTCAGTTTAGTATTGAATAGAAGTGCTGAGAGGGGCCCTGCCTGTCGTCTTCTCAGTCTTTGCACAAAAGCATCTAGTTTCTCACCACTAGCAAGCGCTCAATCACTGAGCTACATCCCCAGCCCCCACAACCCCCCACATTTTTTTTTTTTGGACAAGTCTTGGTAAGTTACCCAGGTTTGCCTTGAACTTGGAATTCCTCAGCCTCAGCCTCCCTAGTATCTGGGACTATAAGCATGTATCACTGCATCCAGAAACAATGGAAAATTTAAAATGTCACCAAAATATTCTATAAACTAAAATTATTATTTTTGTAGTAGCCGAGGCTCTGACAGTTCGGAATCCAATGACTCTCAGACATATCTTCTGAAGGTAACCTCTCAGGTATAATTAAAATTTTTTGCTTAAAATACAGATATGCTATTTAGGTTACTTTTCTTATTGTGGCTAACAGGAAAAATGTTTGCAGTTATATAATTATTACATAATAACATTTTTTCTGATTATATGCATATCTTTAAATAATAGAAATTTTTAAAAGGATGGACATAATATCTTTATTTATTTTTATGTGGTGCTGAGAATCGAACCCAGTGCCTTACATGCGTGAGGCAAGCGTTCTACTACTGAGCTATTATTGAGGCTTAAATTGCAAGTGCAAATGTGCAGTTTTTCAAATAAAACAAATTCTTTTTATAACTGCTAGGGGGAAAAATGTGTTTCAAAAACCTAAATATGAGAAAATTTTATCTAAATAGATAGATAAATCTAGGCCAGTAATAGAATTTTTTAATTTCAGAGTTCTTTTCCTCATGCCCTTCATAGATAATTATGGTTAAGATCTAGAGAGATTAAATTACTTCTCAAAAACCACACCACTTTCTATTTAAAGAGGTGACAGCCTGCATATATCACCTGATTACGAGCCCAATATTTATTTATACATTGATTACTCAACTGCATGTTGTGCTCCAACTACAGAGTTGTAGCACCAGGCACTGTCTATGTGTGGGGATAAAGCAGGGAACAAATGAGACAAAAATCTTTCCCTTTGTTATTTTATATTCAGGTTGGAAGAGACACACAATAAACAAGATAAATAAGTAAAATATATGGCATGTTATACGAGGATTAGTCCCTGAGGTGGAAATTACAGAAAGAAGAAGAATAAGGAGTTTAGGTGGAGATTGCAGTTGTGGAGGGGGTTACCTCCAAAAGAAGTGATTAAGGAAGTGAGAGAGCAAATAAGCAGATAGTATGTAAATTAGCTACTTTCTGCATGGCAAACAACTTCAAAACTTCAGTGACTTAAAATAAACTTACTTTTCACTGATGGGTCTGTCGGTTGGCTCCACTAGACTTGGATAGGGTCAACTGGTCTTAGCTTCAGGTTGAGTCCAGTGACATTTCACGTTTCTCATTTTCCTTTGATCAGAGATTATGCAAGGAAAAATCCATTGGTGAAAACCCAGTAAGTGGGACAACCAATCAATATAAGCCTGTTTATAACTACATTTTCTCCTGGCAACCATGTATCATATTACAACCACACCTGATAGCATATTCACTAACATTCCATTAACCGTTATGTCGTATAACGAGGCCCAACATCAACAGATTAGTGAAGTATACTCCATCTATAGTGGGAGATGCCACAAACTTACATGGTAAAGATTGGGGAATATGTATTCCTATTATAGAGGAATAATTGTTATTTCCAACAATCCAACATTCCAGAGTTCACCTTTTGGATATTTAGGGTAGTCAGTTGTACTTCATAGGAGGAAAAGGGACAGGACTTCTCCTTCTTCTAGGAAGTAAGTCTTAAGATAGTTTTATGTCTGTATGTATATGGTTGTTGATATGTTGATTATATACTGATTTTAATATGAATATTTTTCTTAGATAAAAACCAAGAAAAAATATCTGAAAACAAAGAAGGAAAGGAATTCTACCATGGCAAGCTACCAGAGTGCCAGAGAAGAAGTAAGACTTTATTAATGTGGTTGTTAAGAAGTTTTTTTTTTTAAATGAATGCAAGAGAATGGCAAGTTATTTTCTCTTATGCTTCTTATACCACAATTTTATACCAGGAAGGTTGATGATTAAAATTTTGCTCATCCTTGGCAGATGAAAGGCAGGAATTATTAAGGTGCCATATTTAAATTTTGTATTTATTTACCTAACTCTAAAAATATTTGAGGAAGTTTGCAAGATGCATCCATGACAGCAAGAAGAAAAAATTAAAACTAAGAACAACTAAATGGAAATATAGGGGGAAAAATAGTGCTAAAATATTGACTTCTATGTGACAGTATAAGGAGCTCAACAAACCCATTTACCAGCAAAATTGTCAAATACTACGAAAGAAAGAATGAACAAATATCTGGAATGGTTCAACAAATGCAAAAACAAAAAACTATTTAAGGAAATTATTCAGATCCATTGAAAACAGCAAAAGCCTCCCGTATTTTAATTCAGAGTCCTTCCTTCCCCATCTCTCAGCTCAATAAGACAGATTAGCTCAGCCAAGGAAATTGTACCCTTTTTTCCCACAGCCATTAGAAGGCTGCTTTCCCAAGACAGGCAGGATGTCAGTATTTTTATCCTGCCTCCAGCTACCTGTTGCTGAGCTAAGTTCCAGGTAATTACAAACAAAAGGTGGGAGCTCCTTTCTACCCAGACCCTATTCAGGGGATGGAGGTTTTACCTTGAGTGCTACACCACTGAGGATACTTAGACCCTGATCACCTTGCCTTGGCTTGTAAAGTGGTGGTACCATATTAGAGAAAAACAAGTGGAGAGGCCTGTATCCTACTGTGCAGCTCAAAGCAGTGGTAGTAGTCAGAAGACTGCCATTGTCTCTACCCCCAGTCTCATATCCAAGGCTTGAACATTTTTTCTTAGGTAGAAGAACCAGGCCAAAAAACAGATAGCTTCCTAATCTCTTCCCAAAAGAATTGGCTTCAAATGCAACACAGCTTAGGGTTCAAACTTAAGGACATTCTGAAAACCAGAAGAAATATGGTAGAAATCAATTGAGAGAAGATTGGTGGATTCATTGCAGTTGTAAGCTAAACTGACTTGGAGAATAGACAGCCAGGAAGAACACCACTGCCTTCTGCAGCCATGCCCCCCTCCCTACAGTTACCACCTGTCAGTCTATTCCAATCAGGATGCACCTATTAGGTTACAGCTGTGTAATCCAATCATTCCACCTCCAAATATTCCTGCATTAACAGGTACTTTGGGGGAACACCTCATATCCAAACCTTAACATTTTTCCTCACCCAGTGTTAGCATCTGCCATAAATCTACTGGACACCATGAAACTGACACTGGTACTGTCCACAAATCTTATATGTGAGCATTCATTTGTGCACCAATGCATGTCCATATGTGTACATATGCATACAGTTATGTAATTTTATCACATTTATGCTGCAACTATAACCACATTCAAGATACAGAGTTTCCCATCACCACAAGGCTCCCTCATGCCACTACTTTATAGCCATCCTTGTTCCCTTTCTACATAATTTTAACTCCCAGTATGTTAGCTTTTTGACACTGGGGCCAAAATACCTAACAGAAACAACATATAAAATAGGAAAAATTTCTTTCAGCTCACAGTTTCAGAGGTTTCAGTCCATGGTCAGCTGGCGCCTTGCTCTGGGCCTGAGATAAGACACCGTGATGGCAGAGGGCATGGTGGAAGAAAGCTGCGACATGGTGGTGGGAGGACAAAATAAACCTTTCCAGGGCCACCCTGAGTAACCTGCTTACTCCAGCTAGGTCTCACTTCCCAATAGTCCATTCAGCTATTAAATGGATTAATCAACTGATGAGGTCAGAACCAATCATTGCCTCTAAGCCCCACTTCTGAACCTTGCTGTGTTGAGAACCATGCTTCCAACATGAGACTTTGTTGAACATTCCAAATCCAAAACAAAACACCTGGAGACCATCAATCTATTCTAAATTCTAGAATTACATTATTTCAAGAATGCTGTTTGAGTAAAATTTTTAAAATTCTTTGGTAAACAAACCCTGTAATTGTTCTGTGTTATTTGCAGGTGTGTGTAATATCCCAAGGAAATTTATTTAGTTCTCATAAACACAGCCACATAGTGGTTTTTCTCATTTATCCAAGTTATATTTAATGCAAAATATGGTATACTGCTTTATATTGAATGCGCATGTATTTGATTTATTTTTTGTTTGGAGCTTTTAAAAACTGTTTTGAAATCATAATCTATATTTAATGTTGAATATTTTCAGATGTAAAATAATTATCATTTGGCCAAATACTTTTAGAAAGTTGCAGACCATTCTAAATTTGCCCATGATATAATAGGAGTTCATTAGTCACTACCTGGAATTTCTTTTCTAGTTATCATTGACAAAAAGAGTGAACAATTTTTAACTGAGGTAAATGACTGGAATTCAATGTAATCCATGATTCTGAGCTTACTATTTCTTAATCGTTTGCTCATAAGACATCAGTATATTCCTAAAATAATATTAGTAAGTTATTTTTTAAATACTGTAGTTAACTTTATTTTCTACCAAGATACTTTCAGTCATTGATTTTGAAAAGTTTCAGGAAAAATCATTATAAATGACTATGGTTAAGAATCAAAGGTTATGTTTCAAGGATCACTGGCCTAGTGATATTTTTCTGTAGGATGAGTATAATAGTTTATTATGGCTTGCGCCATCATTTCACTAAAGAGATGAGGTTTAGGGCTGGAGCTGTGGCTCAGTAGTGGTAGAGCGCTTGCCTGGCATGTATGAGGCCCTGGCTTTGATCCTCAGCACCACATATAAATAAATAAAATAAACAGATCCATTGACAACTAAAAAATTATTTTAAAAAAAGAGAAAGAGGTTTAAAAATGACACCAAGAGTTCACTGAATGAAGTCTTATTACAAGTGAATTCTCATTAGCCAGACTTTACCACTAGTTTCACCAAATTCTAACAATTACATAATATTGCTAATTTTTGAGTGATTCTCTCTAGAATATATAATTTTATCCCCTCTTAATAATCAGGTTTTGGTTTTTACATTTTCACTCATTTCTATTTAGTGTCAATTTTTGGTTTTGCTGGCAGTCATAAATTATATCAACAAAGAAGTTGACTTTAGATTTTAACTCTATTTTATGTTTTTGTTTGTTTTGTGGGGTTTTGTGGGGTTTTTTTTGAAGTTTTTTATTTTATTTTTTTTTTAATTTTTTTATCTTTTGGTCTGGTAGTTGTTGGCCTTGACGACCACAATACTTTTTTTTATTATTATTGGTTGTTTAAAACATTACAAAGCTCTTGACATATCATATTTCATACATTTGATTCAAGTGGGTTATGAACTCCCATTTTTACCCAGTATACAGATTGCAGAATCACATCGGTTACACATCCACATTTTTACATAGTGCCATACTAGTGTCTGTTGTATTCTGCTRCCYTTCCTATCCTCTACTATCCCCCCTCCCCCCTCTCCCCTCCCATCTTCTCTCTCTACCCCATCTACTGTAATTCATTTCTCTCCCTTGTTTTTTTTTCCCCTTTCCTCTCACTTCTTCTTATATGTAATTTTGTATAACATTGAGGGTCTCCTTCCATTTCCATGCAATTTCTCTTCTCTCTCCCTTTCCCTCCCACCTCCCTGTTTAATGTTAATCTTTTTCTCATGTTCTTCCTCTTTGTTCTGTTCTTAATTGCTCTCCTTATATCAAAGAAGACATTTGGCATTTGTTTTTTAGGGATTGGCTAGCTTCACTTAGCATAATCTGATCTTTGACACAGGGTTTTGCTAAGTTGCTCAGGCTGGGATCCATCTCCTGGACTCCAGTGATCATTCTTCCTCAGCCTCCCAATAGCTGGGACATGTCCAGCTTCAACTCTGTGTCGTGGTCTGTTTTCACTGACTAGTTGATATGCATTACATGTTGGCAAAATGTTTTCAATTCCTTCTTTCTTCCTCAAATACTTTTTGAAAATTATTTATAACATCCAAACATACAGATAAAGAAAAAATTTGGAAACATTTAAAACATTTTCATGGTCTCATAATGATTTGAAGACTCAATATTACAGTCACAATTTCAGTATAAGTCTCTTTGAGTACATGTGGGTCATACTGGCACCTCCTTTCAAGATAGAAAGCAGTATCAGATCTTCATGCTCTTCTTTTCTCTGGACTTCTTTATGAGATTCAAAAAAACTATTCTTCATCTGTTGTATATAAGCACAGTTTAGCAATGTTTATAGATTTTCATATAATTTTGTTTGCTTTCATCCATTTCAGTGGTTCTAATTTAATTTAAATAAGCGATGTTATAACCACACTTTTATGTCTCTTTCTCACTATATATGTTCTATATAGAGTGGAAATTTTCTAAACTCCCTTTAGCATTCAAAAAAACAAGATTTTATTTTATTCATTGATGTAAAAGAAGAGTCAAGTTGTAAAAGGTTCAGATTTCTGACATATTTCTGGCCATTTTAAACCTAAAAAATAAAATGAGAAATGTTTTTTAAAAACCTATCATATCATAAATCATATAGGAAATAAATATACCTCACTTTCATGTTTATAATATAGTATTGTCTTCCTTCTGATTCTCTATTCCATTAGGTTTATGGTAGAGAACATGTACTGCAAAAACACAAAGAATCAAATTCTGATGTGAAAGGTAATGTTCTGCTTCACCTATAAGTGATTGATTCATTTTCTCAACACAGTACTTTTGTGCCACAACTCTGAGGTTGTGGCCGTGTTTGGTGCTAGAGGTATTAAGAAGGATAGGATACCATTTCTTTCCTGCAGGAGCTCATCTTTTAATCAGAGAAGAAAAACAAGTAAACAAGCACCAGGTTACAGGTGCAATGGCAGGATTTTGTACAGATCCCTAGGGAGCAGACAGAGCAGTGGTCAGTTACATGAGAAGACAGAGATTTTTGAGGGATATCCCAAGGTTTTGAAAGGTTTTCCCCAAAGAATATAGAGGGATTTCATGTTTTAAAAACCATATTCTTCTTGAGATCATAGAGGTTGATCTCAGGAGAGAAATTAAATTAATAGACTGTTATTTGCTTCTGCTACAAACCATTGTCTGATGTGAATCATTAACTGATACTCTAGCATCTCTGGTATTTTTTTTATTAATTTCTATTGTATTACCTTTAATTGTGGTCCTTTGGGGAAAAAATATAAGTAATACTTAATTTTATCCAAAATAATTGCTTAATTGTATGTGTATATCTATTAATGTATTATAAATATATACACCATACCTATTTCCAAAAAGGATTTGAAGTAACCTAAGTAAAATATGCATTGCATATATGTATATACCATACTCATATAATATCTATATTCCATATCTATATATCCATTGGAAACAGCAAATTAATTTAAAAGTAGAATTGGAGATAAAAACCACACCAAGGACACCAAGGAGAGAATTAAGTCTATTATAATTAATATAGTTAATTCACTTCAACTTTATTCTTTCTAGTATTTAGCAGTCACACAATTCAGCTTTTTATGTGTAACTTTTATATATGCTTTTTAAAAAATGTGATATCAAAAAGTAGAATACTTGCCTAGCAGGGATGAGGCACTGGTTTCAATCCTCAGCACAGCATAAAAACAAATAAGTAAATAAGGTATTAAAAATATTTTTTAAAGTAGAAATAAAGATAAGTGAAAGAGCCAGGCGCAATGGCACACACCTGTAATCCCAGCGGCTATGGAGGCTGAGAAAGGAGGATTGTGAGTTCAAAGCCAGCCTCAGGAATAGTGAAGCACTAAGCAACTCAGTGAGACCCCGTCTCTAAAGAAAATACAAAATAGGGCTGGGGATGTGTATCAGTGGTTGAGTTCCCCTGAGTTCATTCCCTGGTACCTGCCCTTCCCCGCCCCCTGCAAAAAAAAAAAAAAAAAAATAGATAAGTGAAAGAAAGTAAAAAATCACATTTTAGGATATTTATTTGGGACCTTTTTCTGTATTTATATGCATAAACTTTGTGTAAATGACCCCTGGCATGTTAGGATTTAAGTCAATGCTTCAACATAGGAGAATATGAAATAGTCTTTTTGTTGGTATCCTTTACAATTGTTACCTGATTAATTTTATTTATCTCTCCCCTACTGCATCCTGAATCCTTTGCAATTAAATTTAGGACATCTCAGAATTTTTCTTTTATAAAAATATATTAAAAATCTAAGTAAATGATAAGATACCTCAGTGTTCATGGATAAGAAAATTTAATACTATTAAGGTGTCAGTATTCCCCAATTGACAAATAATGTGCAATCCCTATCAAAATCTTAGTTACACAGAACACTAAAGAAAGGATTGAAGAAAACCTCAGAAGATGGAAAGATCTCCCATGCTCCTGGATAGGCAGAATTAATATTGTCAAAATGGCCATACTACCAAAAGCATTATACAGATTTAATGCAATTCCTATTAAAATCTCAATGACATTCTTCATAGAAATAGAAAAAAGCAATCATAAAATTTATTTGGAAAAATAAGAGACCCAGAATAGCTAAAGCAATCCTTAGCAAGAAAAGTGAAGCAGGAGGAATCACAAAATTATACTATASAGCTATAGTAACAAAAACAGCATGGTAATTGGCACCAAATAGACTTATAGACCAATGGTACAGAATAGAGGACACAGAGATAAACCCACATAAATACAGTTATCTCATACTAGACAAAGGTACCAAAAACATTCACTGGAGAAAAGATAGCCTATTCAACAAATGGTGCTGGCAAAATTGGAAATTCATATGTAGTAAAATAAAATTAAACCTTTATTTCTCATCCTGCACAAAATCAACTCAAAGTGGATCAAAGACTTAGGCACTAGAACAGAGACCCTGCACCTAATAGAAGAAAAAAGTAGGCCCAACTCTCTTCATCATTTCAGCTTAAGAACTGAACCCCTCAACAAGACTCCTAATGCACAAGAAGTAAAATCAAGAATCACTAAATGGGATGGATTCAAATTTAAAAACTTCTTCTCCTCAAAGGAAACAATATTGTGAGGAGAGAGCCTACATATTGGGAGAAATCTTTTCCACATGCACCTCCAATAAAACACTAATCTCTAGGATGTATAAAGAACTCAAAAAACTTAAAACTAAAAAACACAAATAACTCAATCAATAAATGGGCTAAGGAACCGAATAGACACTTCACAGAAGAAGAAATACAGTTGATCAACAAATACATTAAAAAGTGTTCAACATCTCTAGCAATTAGAGAAATGCAAATCAAAACTAAGATTTTCTCTCACTCCTGTCAGAATGGCAATCATCAAGAATACAGTCAACAATAAATGTGGTGAGGATATGGGGGAAAAAGGTACACTCATATATGTTGCTGGTGGGACTGCAAATTGGTGCAACCACTATAGAAAGCTGTATAGAGATTCCTCAGAAAACTAGGAATGGAACCACCATTTGACACAGCTATCCCACTCCTTTGTTTATACTCAGAGGACTTAAAATCAGCATACTACAGTAATGCAGCCATGTCAGTGTTTATAGCAGCTCAATTCACAATAGCTAAACTATGGAACCACCCTAGGTATCCTTCAGTAGATGAATGGATAAAGAAAATGTGGTATATATATTCAATGTAATATTACTCAGCTTTAAAGAAGAATGAAATTATGGCATTTGCCAGTAAATGGTAGAGTTGGAGAATATCATGCTAAGAGAAATAAGCCAATCCCAAAAAACCAAAGGCCAAATATTTTCTCTGATATGCAGATGCTAATTCACAATAAGGCAGGGGGTACTAAAGAATAGTGCTACCTTAGATTAGGTAGAGGAAAGTGAAGGGAGGGGAGGGGAGGGGATGTGGGGATAGGAAAGATAATAGAACAAAACAGATATTATTACTTTATATATGTGACTGCATGCCCAATATGATTCTATAACATGTACACTTAGAAAAATGAGAAATTATATCCCATCTATGTATGTTATATCAAAGTGCATAAATGCATTCTACTATCATGCATAACTAACTAAAACAAATTAAAAAGGAAAAAAATCTTAGTTACCTTCTGTGCAGAAACTAACAAAGTCAACCTGAAATTGATATGGAAGTGCAAGGGGCCCAGAATTAATTTTAAAAAAAGAACAACATAGTTCAATAACTAATATTTCCTGRTTATAAAACTTGCTAGCAAGCCATAGATATCAAGACAGTGTGTTACTGGCACAGGGTAGACATGTAGATCAGTGAAAGAGACTTGAGAATTGTGTTAGTCAGTTTTAAATTACTTGTGACCAAAATACCCAACAAGAACTACTTAGAAGAGGGAAAGTTTATTCTTGCTCACAATGTCAGAGGTTCAGTCCGTGGTGGGCTGACTCCATTGCTCTGGGCCAAGATGAGGTAGAACGTCTTGATAGAAGGACGTGGTGAATGAGCTCTTCTCTATTCATGGCAGCCAGGAAGCAGAGAGGAAGAAGGGGATACAGGGAAGATACATCCTTTCAGGGTACATCCCCGGTTACCCACCTCCTCCAGCTACACCCTACCTGCCTTGTTACCACTGAATCACTCCAATCAAACTAGAATGACTGAATAGGTTGCAGCTCTCACAATTTAATCATTTTACCTCCAAACATTCCTGCATAACAGGAACTTTGGGGGAACCCTTCATATGCAAACCATAACAGGAATATAGAAATAAACATATATTTATTATCACTGAATTTTCAACAAAGGTATCAAGACAATTTGGTGGGGGAAAATAGTCTTTAATGAAAAGTACTGGGGAAAACTGGATTTCTACATACAAAAGAATAAAATTGGAAATAGTACTTACACCATTAACCAAATTAATTCAAAATGGACCTAAATGTAAGAGCTAAAACTACTCTTAGGAGAAGAAAATATAGACTATTTAAACCATATGTACAGAAACATATGGTTTTTAGCTTCAATGTGAATAAACTTTGAAAATCATCATTTTTGTCCTATAATAAGAAAATATTAAGTACACTGAAAATCAGTGACTTCTTGGATCCATCAGAGAACTGAGGCTTCCAGGAAAAGTACCACCCTGAAATGTCAACAGTTCATTTTTGATTTACCTGTGAATTAACCGTGGTGCTTTATATCAATCTAGTGCCAGTTCAATCTGAATGTGAAAATCAGGTCCAAATTTTCAGATAATGAAAAGAGAATAAGTACAATACCAATATCAGTTCGACCTCAGACATCACCAAAAAAAAAAAAAAAAAACAAAAAAAGGAAGTGGAAGGAGAAAGTTAAATGATTGTGTTATTTTTATGTTCTTTCAACTATAGATAGAAGAATAAAGGATATATATAACTAGCTAACTAGTTAGGGAGATAATTTAGCATATTAGAGCATATAGTGTGATATACAGAATAGAATTTGGACATGTGTGTCAAGGAAGAAATCAAAATGTAATAGCATTGGTTTAGAATACTTAAAATGGAGTTGGGAGGCATAATTAAATCTGATCTCAGACACATCCAGAGCTGAACCTTTGATCTGGGCTGCAGGCATGCCCATCCCCCGATGAGAGTTAGTCATCAGAGTGGACCAAATATTGTTTGTTACCTTCTACTGACCTTTGATAGAATAGACCCAAACTACTCAGAGACTGAGACCACACCCAACTCTTTTTTTACAAGACAGCTTAACCTTTGCCAGCACCATAATTCCTAACAAGTGACTAACAAGTAATTTTTAGCACCGCCCCCCCCCCATGATTTAAAGCTACAAATATAGCCACAGTTTTATAAAATCCTGAAGCAATATTTTTGAGTAACAGTAACTACAATTTTTGTTCCCAAGTGATCATCTTCCCTTTGGCTCCAGTAAACCATTTCTTCTCATAGGAGGTATGTCTTGACTTGTAGGTTGACCTGGGCATCATGGAAGAAAAGAGCTATAAGTACATTGGGAGACTAAATCTCGTAAGTCCAGGATGAGACAAGCAAGAACCAAATTAATGTATTTTCCCTCCCACAAAATACCAATTCTCTATCAAGAATAATAGCTGGTGGGATTGGGGTTTTAGCCTAGTGGCAGAGTGCTTGCCTAGTACTGGCAAGGTTCCGAGTTCTGTCCTCAGCCCTGCAAAAAAAGAGAAAAAAAATAGCTGGTGAATTCACTTGCACATACTACAGAATTAACAGTTATCATCCATTTCCTTTATTGCTTGATGAAACAGAATAAAATGATGTTTCCTGATTCAGAGGTTGCCACTTACATACCCTATGAGTCAACAAAAAGGAAATTCTGATGACAGATGTGCTGGTCTATTATAGTGTAAAGCTCATTTTATCAAATCCTACAACCAAAATGTTTTCGACATTTTACCAAGTAGTGCACTGAATCCTGGTAACAAAAAAGCATTCTCCTGGCTCTTATATATTTTGATTTGAAAAATGGGGTTTGAGACAATCTTCATTTCTATGAATATTTTAATGAAACCAAAGAAAACTTTAAAATATATATGAATATTTTGTCCAAATACAAACTGGTTGTGCTCATCAATCTGCATCGATGGCAATTAATCAGTTAGCTTGCTTTTTACCAAAGAAAATGAAAAGATCTTACCTAACAAATGTCTCCCATCTTGTACTACCAATGGGTGTGATTTGCTAATATGTGACAGTGAGGCTTTCATAACGAAAGTTTTTTGTCACATTTTAGTTTCCTCAAAACATGAAGAAATTTTTTACTTTATAGAAATAAAAGAAGAGAACTTCCTTAGACATGTGTATACAATAGCTATTATTGTTGCCAGCCATTGAGAAGATATCAAAATGTTGTTCTACCGTTAAGTCACATCTTCAAGTGTGATACAGAAGGGAATATCCTTCTCTAATTTGGAAATACTTTGAGGATAAGGATGGAGGAAATAAATATAGTGAAACAATTTACATGCTGTTTCTCCAAACCTGATGGTCTTTGAAGAGGTTTTAAAGAGCCAAGAAAATAAACTTACTGTATCTAAGTTGATCATTATCATGTCCTGGTTGTGACAAAAGCTTATATGGTTAAAAAAAAAATGACTTGTTGGGGGGAAATAAGTCTAAGACCTCAAAAAAACTGTCACTGGAAAGGATCATACAAATTAAGCACTAAAACTGTAATTTATTTGGGATATTCATTTAAGTTCAAATTATCTCATTCTTTAAAAAAAAAAAGGTTTTTCCCTGAGAAAGAAAAATTTAACTTCTGATGACAGTCAGTGAGTTTACCAATCAGTTGAGAGTCCTTTTGCTCAATTCAGACAGAAATCACAAATAGGCAGAGTGCAGCTCCCTAGGACTTAGCAACTCTGAGCTTTGAGGGTTAGCAACTCTCAGTTCTTTTAGCAGCTCTCCCCTTTGACTTTCTGGCAGCTGGAGCTTACAGCTTATAGTTCCTTCTGCAGCTGGAATTAACAGCTCTCCCAGAAGCTTTTCCTGCAGCTCTCAGCAGCTAGCTGTCCTCAGCATTACCGACTCTGGCTACTGGCAGATTTTAGTGCTAGCAAACGTTTAGTGCAACCATCTTAGCCCATTCTATTTGAGATAAAAATCGTGGATAGGCAAAACAAAATCATTCAAAAGAGACTTTATTAGGACCTTTACTACAACATAAGGAAAATAGTACATAGACCTATCCTATAATGGGAAAGAGAAGGTTGCTTATACAGACAAAAACTGTGGGCTCATGAATGCACATAGCAATCCCAGAATTTCTGGTTAGTTTTAGATAGGGAAGGGCCTTCTCACAGAATAGAATGGGGACACTTGACCCAGCTGCAGAAAGGTACGGTCATTCAGAGAGTCTGTGGGGGCATAGTCGTCTGGGATGGACTCACTATTAAAACTTGCATGATTAAGGAAAAAGTCTTCAGAACAAGTTGTGGAAGTCTGATGTAGCTGCAGCCTGCTACAAGGTATTTGGAGCAGCCATAGCTGTCAAAATGAAAGAAAAGTCAGAAGTATTTCTTGGAAAGCATCAGGTCCTTCTTTCTCAAATGTACTTCAAGGTGTCTAAAACAAATGGACATTTTAGATACAGACATCTGTGTGATAGACAGACACAAAGTGCCTGAACAACAAACAGCTAATCTGCAAAAGCACATCTGAAGATACAAAACAAATTGACATTGAAACTCCTGCTGTTAGTAATAAGTAAGATCCGAAGTATTGCATGCTCAAAACATTGTTGTTTACACTATATCTAACTTGATGTCATTACCATGGACTGGCCAGTATCAGTCTAGTATGGGCTGGATAAGAGCAGGACTACAAAGCCAAAAGGAATTTGATAGCCAGGTGCAGTGGCACGTGCCTAAAATCCCAGCAGCTCGGGAGGCTGAGGCAAAAGGATCACAAGTTCAAAGCCAGCCCTGGCAATTGAGCAAGGCCCTAAAAGCAACTAAGTGAGACCCTGTCTCAAAATAATTTTTGTGGGGGAGAGAGGAGTATACCCGGGATTAACTAAGGGGCACTCAATGACTGAGCCACATCTGTATTTTATTTAGACAGGATCTCATTGGGTTGCTTAGCACCTCACTTTTTTTTTAAGAGAGAGAGAGAATTTTTAAATATTTATTTTTTAATTTTTGGTGGACACAACATCTTTATTTTTATGTGGTGCTGAGGATTGAACCCAGTGCCCCACGCATGCCAGGCAAGCGCGTTACCACTTGAGCCACATCCCAAGCCCCAGCACCTCACTTTTGCGGAGGCTGGCTTTGAACTCTCAATATCCCTGCCTCAGCCTCCCAAGCCCCTGGGATTACAATTGTATGCCACTGTGACCAGCTCAAAATAAAATTTTTTTAAAGGGCTGGTGATATTGCTTAGTGGTTAAGCACCCCCAGGTTCATGTACCAAAAACAAAAAGCAAAATAAATTGATTAATTAAGGAATTTGATGTTTGTGTGGATTCCATTTTACCACTACATAAAAGAAAGAAATTATATTCTAAAGGCTATATGTAGCTAAGAGAGGTATTCTTGGAAAATGAAACAGCAAAAACATTCTGCTGTATCATGGGAAAGAAAAAAATGTCACTGTTAATTTTTATTCAATATAGATGATATCTATTTAATTAGTCTCCATAGATTCACATTCAACTTTTTAAAGATTATACAATTCTATAGCCTATAAAATTTAAATATCTGATAGAGTTAAATTCTATAGCAGAGGAAAGGAGAGAAACTTTGTAAAATATTCTACTTTCTCATACATATTATTTGTTTAACATATTATTTGTTAATAACAACTAACTGCCTTTTACCTAGTTATATTGTTTTGCTTAAATAATAGTGGGTATTAGCAAAGCAAATAATATAGAATGATATATAAATTTGAATACCTGTTTTATCTTAAAATAATAAAGTACTGTGTATAGTTATTTATTACATTAATGTACTAAATTAAATTGTGAGAGGTCTGGTATGTCTGTGTCCTGAATTGGCTCTCTAAAAGGTTGGCCTCATTAGTGAACGTGAACATGTAGATAATCTTCATAGATCCAATCATACTTAATTCTGAATTGTTAGACAGTTATTAGTTAGGTATTTCTACCGTTTGCTATTCTCTGGAAACTGTTTAATCAAAAGGCTTCCAGAGGAAATATGTACTTTTATCTTTTATATATCTGAATGAAACAATAGTGGATTAATTGAAAATAATCTCAATTAAGCAAGCATTAACCATGTAAATGAAATGACAAAAAAAACTATTGTATTTTGTTGATCTTAATACCTAAGCAGATATTTTATGGTATATTCTCTTTTACAGTGAAAATACCTGGACAAGCTCCTTCTTGGCTTCTAAAAAAATATTTAAGGTAGGAAAACTATACTTGATTCCTTCTACCTAACTATCTTACTCATTTTCCTCTTTCTTATAAAATTTTGGTTTTGAATTAAAGCAACAGGTTAAAGTGACTTTCCGATAGCCATTGCTAATTGAATATCTCCTTATATTCAACACAGTATCTATGACTAGGTCATTTTCACATATATATGCACATATGTATACACACACACACATACATATACATATATACACACACACACACCCATAAGATGGGTACTTTGAAGGTTTCTAAGATTTCAATATTGCCAAGCTGTCCTTAATAGTTGCCTTAAATTCTATAGACATTTATTTTTATGCACTCATTATTTGCAGTGTCTGAGTTTCTCTTTTAAAACCAATATCTCTGAAATAAGTTAATTATTTAGAGCTTTAGAAAGAATGAATAATAATCAAATGTTTTACTCTGTATAGTGGCAATTGGAGCATTGGTCACTGAGGCAAAAACTAGTACCCAAAAACTGAAAGAGGAATAGAAAGGGAATTCAGAGATTACATAAACCAACTTTGTAGTTTTGTGTGTACCAGCAATTATTCTATCTATTACCCTTGGCAAGTTTCCCTGACCTTTAGAATAATGATATAAACAAATATCTAGATAGTGAAATAGGTAGTCATAGATAAGCATTTGAAAATCGCCTGAATTTTCACAACAGAGTGACCATGACCATGGTATGTTCTTTCTCCTTTCCTTGGTTTCTCCTCTAAGAACTTGGTTTCTGCTAAATAAAATAGGTTTTAAGGAAAAACAGAGACTTGTCCCAAAGATGCCTTACATATTCTAAGACCAATATATAAGGCACCTTTTGGCATATCCATAATTGTATATAAAATTAATTCTTTTACACTAAGATTTAATTTTTAAAAATATCATTTATCATATCTTTATCATACTCTATGAAAATAAATTGAATGATACATTAAGATACGAGAAAAAGTACTATAGATAGAAGGTATGACTTCTAGATTTTCCTCTGCCTCCTGTTATCTGGGTGATCTTGAGCAAATACTTTAACCCTTTTGATCTCCCTTATGTAAGATTAGATATATACATGTCTATATATATATATATATATATATATATATATATATATATATATGTATATATACACACACACTTTGCATATTCTGGGGTATAATATGCCAATAGAACATGGCAGTACATTACTCTTGAGTGGGTAGTTTGCTGTTTGAAATTGAGATCACAGAACCCAATTTCTTTCAGCTCCCAAAATATGATTCAGAGTTTTAGCAGAGACAATCGAAGATATTTTCTAGAAACCTGTGAGAGGCCAATCCAGGAAATAATTCAGCCCCTGGGAAATCGTTTATATGAAAACTGTTTCAGAGTGACATCCTTGAAGTTTCCTAGGAGCCAACAAACATCAAGTTGGATTGAGAAGACAAGGATACGAAAAGGTTTTTTAAAAATTATTATTTAGTATTTTAATCAATATAAAGATGATTTATACTATATTTTCATTAGTAAATTTATGAAACCTGGATTATGGAAACTGCTTGGTAAACAGAATGGATTAATAACCATTTTTGTCCTGTCCCTGAAAATACTTGCCTTATTTAATCTTCATATGAGTTAAATCTAGAAGAAAAATATTTCAGTTTAATACAGCCTTGAAAAAAATTTTAATTATCTTATTTGCAATAGCTCCCTGCTATTGATACCTTTCATCCTCACTTTTCCCCCATAGGGATTTTTTTTAATGCCACCACCATATTCTGGTAGCTTTTGCTTTCCAGACCTGGAATTTTTCATTGGAAATCACCTTTATTCATGTCTCTTTAGAGTATCCCTATACTAATTGAAGACAATTGTAGTTCACAGTTTCTGTCTTGAGATGTGTCTATTCTAAAGCACCCCTATAAAGGGACAGAGAAGATTGGCCTTGTCCTAAGTCTATCATGGTAATTCATGCTAGTTTAAGTTAGTAAAGCTAAAGTCAAATTCACCTACATTATTCATCCAGGTGAATCTAAAAATTATTATGCTGAATGAAAAGTCCAGATACATAATGGAAAAATGCTATATGATTTCATTTATATGTAAGCAAGTTAACCTATAGAGGAAAAAAAAACAGATAAAAGGTTCCTGGAGTAGAGAATGAATGGGAAATTTGATGCACAAGGAACCTTTTAGGGACAGTCTATACTAGATCCTGGCTGTGATGATGGTTTCACAGATGTTTACGAATTGAAACCTCATGTTTTTGAGCCACACAATTAGCAGGATTGAGTTATTATCTGCTGATTGGGGAGGGGGGAGTAAGAATGGAGCAGCAATTCAATTTGGACATGTTGCATTTGAAATGTCTGTTAGATATTCAGTTGCACTATTGAATAGGCAGAAGGATATGAGTCTGAAGTTCAGAGAGAGACCTAGAATGGGGATAAATTTGGGAATTTTCAGCATATAGATACTATTTTAGGATAGATGCTGGATGGAATTCATAAGGAAATAGTTATAGAGATAGAAAAGGGTTAAGGACCAAGTCCCCAGGGAGCCCCTACATTAATGGGTCAGGAGAAGAACAGGAACAACAAAGACTACTTTGGGGTATGAGGTAGGATTTGAGGAATTCATAGAATGTGTTATTCTAGAAGCCAAATGAGAATCTGAGTCTGAGGCTTCTGACTGGTCAACTGCAAAGGATTGACTATTGAATTTACAGCACTGAGGTTCTTGGAGATCTTAATCAGAGAAATTTCAGTACAATGATGGAGGTGCCAATTCTAATTAAAGTGTATTTTAGAACAGGAAGAGAGGAACTGGATGGAGACTAGTGGTATTTGTATGATTCTGCTAAAAAAAGGAAAGTTATTTGTCCACTTTGGAAGGTTTTTTGCTGTTGTTGTTCCCCATTGCCTCCACGGCTGTGCCTAATTAGCCTTATCCAGTCTTTCCTGAAATTAGCATCTCATCCTTTCTTGACTATTTTATGGACACATGTCTAATAAAATTCTACAATACTCTTTAACATTAAGTCAATTTCATAGAGAGCTATCTTATCTTTGTATTGCCTCCCACTTTTCTAGTAATATATGCATATAAGACTATGTATTTTCCTCTAAAATATTATGTCTTCATTATCACTCTGTTTCTTACAGAAGGATGTTTGTTTTTCCCCATTATTGAACTTGTTAAGGAGGAAATGTCATGGATTGCTGTCAGAGATTAACAAAGAACCCAGTTAGATTTTAGTTCTGGAAGAGTTTATATTTAGTGATAAGATATAATACAAAAACAGAATTTCGGCTGCCAGGAGAGCATGGAGGAGGAGTAAATTCATGACAAATCCTGCAGATAGTTTTAGACCTAAGTCATTTCTCTTTGAACTTGGGAAACACAAATGTGACACCCTTGCAGTAGCCACTTTTCTACTCAACTAGACCCCAGAAGCTGGCAGAAAGTCACGGCACTCCAAGAATCTTGTCTGTTTTTTTGGAACGTGCTTCACCTACACAGACTTTCTTGTTATTTTAGCTGTCTATAACCATGTCCTCTAGTGCCATCAATGAAATCTAAATGTTGATCAATCCTAACAGGAAAACACATTATTGAAGCTGAGTAATGGATTTAAAGAGAGTTACCTATATATACTATTCTACGTAGGGGGGATATTGAAATTTTTTTAAAAAGAAGTCCACAGTATATTTCCACAGTTTTCAATGACCTGTTCTCACCTTAACCCTCTATCTGTATTTTAGAGTATGTCTGTAGATTGTTTCTGGGGTCCCTTTGTTTACTTAGTAGGAATACTGCTTTTTCTTAGGAAAGATTTTTTTTTAAATCAACCCATAGGAGTTTTACCTGATCCATATGCACTGAATTTAACAGAAATGCCTTCAAGTTTATAACATATGGAAACCCATCCCGACTGTTTTCTCATGGTAGACTGTTCCCCCTTTTTCATATTCTATCTCAATGGGAGACTGAGACAGGAATAATCAGATACCTGTGGTCACATCATATCTCTCAGAAAGTTAAAATCTGGACATGTGTGAATACGCAGAGCTGGGCAGATAGGGGAGCTATATTGACCCAATTCCAAATGTAGGAATATAATTTACATTCCAGCTCTTGAAACCTCATCCACATCTCTAGCACATTTTCTCCATTCCTTTGGTCTAATTTCCTTCACTCCAACCATGCTCTTATCAGTGTCTTTAAAATTGTTTGCCTTTAATAAGTAATAAGTAATAATTTAATAATTTAATAAGTAATTATTGAATAAATACAACTCATATATCTATTCATATTTTTCTGGTTGATCCCCAGATCTTCATCACAACTTAAAAAGCAAAGGTAAAGAATGTACACCTGTCCAAAGTAAGAAGAGTGGCATAAACTGGACAGATGATGAAAAAAGAATCTACAGGGATAAAAGAATAGCTCAAACTCAAGAAATATTGCATTATTTGCTCCCTATCATGGAAACCCAAAAACCCATGGAAAACACTCAGATAAAACAGTTATTCAATTCAAGAAGCAACTTCCAAATCCAACATCAGTAAGTCCATACAGTATTATCATTTGTAGCTTTTTTTTTTTTTTAGGTGGTGTTAGGAATCAAACCAAGGGCCTTGTGTATGCTAAGCAAGTGCTATACCCCAGAGCCACATCCTGTTCCTAAATATTTAATACATTCATTTATAAGGAAGCAAGGCAGATTAGTTCATTATTCTAAGCAACAATCCTGGATAAATAAATAGTCTTTGGAAAATGATATCAGCTACACCACATTTGACAAAGGGACAAAGAAAACACCAGGTATGTGAAGTTCTAAGTTATCAGGTCTTATTTGACTGGTTATTTGTATGAAATTACTCATTAATTTGCATCTGTGAATAAAGTATACATAAATTATATGTAATCATATCCTGACTTGAAATTTTTCAGGTGTTTTTAAATAATTCTTATTCATTATAGTTCTTGAAACTGTAACCAGACCAATCAGACAAGAGAAAGAGATTGAAAATGATACAAATAGGAAAAGTCAAATTATCTGTTTGCTGATGACATGATCCGACATCTAGAAGACCCCAAAAAACTCCACCATAGGACTTATAGAGATGATAAGTAAATTCAGCAATGTGTCACACAAGATAATAGGTAGCAAAATCTGAATTCAAACCCAGGCAGACATTCTGATTCCAGAGTTCTTCTGAACTTTATCATTATGCTTTGCTTTTCTCTTTAAACATAAGTGAAAATCAGGACCAATATACCAAATACACAAAGAATACCTATAAGTCATTTAGAAAATAATGGGTATTTTAATGTAAAAAGGGGCAAAGGCTCTGAATGAGGAATTCACAAGAGAAAAAACACAGAAAATGAACATTTATAAATGTTTGATCTCACTAAAATCTAAAAAGTGCAGATTAATACAATGATGAAATACCATTTTTACTTCTCAGCAGACAAATTTATTCATTGATTTCGTGAATATAAACAGAGTTTCTGGAAGGCAATCCAACTAATATAAGTGGAAAATCCTTAGTTTCATTTCCTTTTCAATCCTTCACATTCCTTTCTCTTTTTTTTCCTTTATGTAGTGCTAAGGATTAAACCTAGGGCCTCACACATGCTAACCACATGCTCTTTAACTCAGCTCCCATACATCCATTTTGACTAAAAAAATTCACTTTTAGAAATTGTAACCTGCAATTTTAGACCTGTAAGCCTAAATAAGGTCTAAAAGGCTTATATGGTGTGATACATGTGTTCAGTGTTGTCAAGAGAAGTCAAAAATAGAGATATGAATTAAATGCCCAAGAAAATTGCTTAAATAAATTATGGTACATTCATAAAATGAAATATTATATAGCTATTTAGTATCATACAGAATATTTAATTAATTAGCATGGAATGATGTTCCCAATAAGTAAGTGAATGAAATAGGATCTATAAATCAGATAAATACAGATTTGGTATGGTTGCATTTATATGTATGTGCACATTCAAACACATACACACCTACAAAAAGGCTCTGGGATCACATATTCCCATCAATGATTATCTCCTGATAACTAAAGTGGTTTTAGGGTATGGTAGTCTTCTTTCAGTTGCTTTCCCCTAAATGTTTATTAATGGGTATTTTTTATGTAATCAATAAGATTATTAAACTGGGAAATTGAGGGAAGTTTCTAGTGTAATGGGTAGCAATCATCTTGGGGAAGGATGCCTGACAGGAATGGAGTCCAATAGGTCAGCTAATATGAGGTAAGCAAATTGTAGTGTTGGCCCAGGCAAACAAGGAATCGAACAGGATAATATCAGCAAAATCACAAATTAGGAAACTAATAGCAAAAATACAACACATTTGAGCAAAGAGGCCAAGAAGCTGAGAATCTAGAGGTGGGCAAGGGGTCTGGGTGACAATTAGAACATAACTTGATTTTTAGCTGTATCTTTCATAAGAGATTCATTATGTACTTTGAACCCAGAAAGGCACTCAGTGTGTATTAGCCTGAGCCTGAAGATATAGACAAATACGAGGATGTATTAAGACCTCTCCGTTTATGCATATCAGAAACCAATTCAAACTAGCTTAATTAAAAAACATAAAGGAGGACCGCCAAAAAAAAACTAAAAAAAAAAAATATTAAAAAATTCTCTCTCTTAAAAAAAATAAAGTTCTAAACCCACTTATTAAAAAAAAAACATAAAGGAAGGGTGAAAGGGAAGAATTCCAAGAAAATACTAGGCTATTCATAGGAAGAAAAGGAGAGGAATTCATCCAGGCTTCAGAACGTGGGTAGAACTGGGAGAGGAAAACTACCCAGGGCTCTTTATCCATCTACAGTCTAGTTTTCCCTCTCTAGAAGAAGGAGTACACAACGGTCAGCTCACAAATTTGCATCCCGTAGCAATTTGACTTATAAGATTAACTCGCTATCACTCATTCCCACTTCTAAATTATACGGAGAGAGAATCTGATTGGCAACCATGTCAGTGGATAGAGATCACATAGTTACATACGTGGTTGTTGGAAACCCTACCCTTGTGGACCTAGAGAGAGTCCCCTGAGAAGGGGAAATTGTGTCTGGGGTGGACATCCCCAAAAGTATCTACTTTAGGTTTACATGGAAATATAAAAAGCAGGAAAGCTGCAAATAAGACCATACTTAGCAAAGAGATTCTCAATGTATATTTAAACATTATCAAGCTGATAATCTTTTGCTTTTATAATTTTGGAGTTTGTTCTCTGATCTATATATTCTCTATTTAACTTGCTCGTCATTTTTACATAGTATTATCTACAGAAAATGATTACAAGATAAAGAAAGTATAAGTAAAGAATGAAAAGATCACACCTTTACTAAATTATCTTGGACATGAATCTAAGTTTGGACTAGATAGATACTAGTTAATGTGTTGCTACAGCTTGCAAAATTACATACTGAAGCATTTGACATCTGGTTGTAATTATAGAACTTGAACATAAATTGTTCTGCTCTTCAGCCAAAATAAATAAGGTCTAGGTGGATTACTAATCAACAGCATGTTAGCAAGATGATTTATATCTGTTAAATTTATGTTGAGTCAAACACTGATCAGAATTCAGATATGGAAGAATAAATTTCATGTTTTGCATCCCATTTGGCAATAATGAAAATTCTTGAGAAAGATTATATAAATCAGAAGGTAGTTGGAGAGATTTCACTGCAGATGAAATAGACACATTATTCCAGTTCTTCTTACTAAAAACAATTAAAACCCTCAGATATTACATCTAAAACAAATATAAGACAACTCTGAATGGTTGAAAAAAAGGAAGGAGAGTTGCTTGGGACTTCAGGAACCAAGTAATAACCCTGCGATCTGGGTTTCCTTTTTGCCTCATGTATTCAAGGTTTGAAGCTGAATAAGACTGCAATCTGGAAACACCAACAGGCACAGACACATGCACAAAACTCCCATAGAAGCCTAAACTATATAACCAAAGAGCCAGGAAAGTGACAGCTAACTCAATAGAAAACTCTTAAGACAATAAGTTTTTCTACTCCAGACAAACACCACTGATAAACAGTGGTCACACTGCCATCAATGTAGGTAGAAGCCATGTGAAAGGTGTAGACTCCTACTCCTTTGAGGTATAACACCCCACTTAGGGTGGGATTTTAAAAGGTCGAGTAGAAGCCAAAAACTTTACTCCACTGGCCTATAAAGAGCCTCTTCCCAGTAGGTATCACTGGAAACCACTAAGGATCCTGGACTTCCACCCACTGGACAGAAGTGAGGTGCTCTTCTGCTCCCCATTGGGCTAGTATCAGAAGGGGCCTTTGTACCAAGACCCAGCAGCAATGAAGCAACTCCCGTCACTGTCAGCACAGGCAGCACAGAGGTTGGAACTTCTACACCTGTTCAACAGAAATTAGGAGCCTCTTCCCTCTGACATCAGCAGAGCCCAAGTGGGGACCTGGACTTCTGCTTCCATCTAGTGGTAATGGGATCTTATCACCCCACTTCTCTTACTGGCACAGAGTCAAAAGTCTAGCTAAATAAAGTTTAAATAAGATCCAGAGTCTTATGATATGAAAATGTCCATGGTTTAATCAGGAATAAACCATCATTTTAAGTACCAGGAAGATCCAACACTAATTTTAAAAAGACAATTAATCTTAAGAAGACAATTAGCTGATATACCAATGTTTTAGTCAGCTTTTTTGCTGCTGTGACTAAAGGACCCAACCAGAACAATTTTAGAGGAGGAAAAGTTTATTTGGGGACTCACAGTTTCAGAGGTCTTAGTTCATAGAAGGCCAGCTCTATTCCTCCAGGTTCGAGGTGAGGTGGAACATGATGAAGAGTGTGGCAGAGGCTTACATGGTGATCATGAAGTAGAGTCCACTCGCCAGATACAAATATATACTCAAAGCCATGCCCCAATTCCCACCTTCTCCAACCACACCCTACCACTTCAGTTTCCACACATATTAATCCCTACAAGGGGATTAAATCACTGATGGGTTAAGACTCTCACAACCCAATCATTTCTCCTCTGAACCTTCTTGTACTGTCTCACACAGGAGCTTTTGGGGGATACCTCACATCCAAACCATACCAGTCTGCCCCAAAACCTCACAACCATCTCAAAAAGCAAAATATATTTTTTCCATTTCTACGAATCCCCATAGTCAGCAGTTCCAAGATTTGCTCAAAGTTCAAGTCCAAAGGCTTCACATTGTGAAGTCCTATAAAATAAAAAGCAATTTATAAATATCCAATATTTAATGGTACATAGTAAACATTTCTATTCACAAAATGAGGGGCATAGAAAGAAGGGATAGGACCAAACCAAGACCGAAATGCAAGTCCTGTAGCTTCATGTCCTGCATCCGGACACAAGGCATCTTGATGTTTTCTCCAAAGGACATGTGTAGCTCCACCCTTTGTTGCAGCCCAAGTGGCCTTTTTTGGCTTGTTTCTGCTCAATTCCTGTAACTGTCCTACTATGATGTCCTATGTTACTGGCATTTCTTTTTTTTTTTAATTTTTATTATT